CATAGCTACCACCACATCCACGAACTTTTTCTAGGCCCCAAAATGGGCAGCGGACTGGGCTTGAATTGGTGTGCACCTGATCTATAAATGGGCGTTTCAGTCCATGCATCCTGTTTATTTAGAGATAACTACAGACGTGTTTGTTGAGAGACAAGTGCGTAAGTCAAAAGTAGTAAATAGGGCAATAATATTAATTATTTATTATTACTGATGGTGAATGATGTTGTTGCACTGAATAGTACTACAATATTTTATTATTATTTAATACTAGGCCAGGTGCGTTTGTACCCGTCATCACCAATTGAAAAATCAATCCGTCGAATCCAAGCACTGACAATGAGAAACTAGTCATTGTAGCAAAAATGGAAAAGATCGACATGGCAGGCCAATGTATCACTACTATCCACCTTGGTTTTCAAGCATTTGTTTATCAGATCAGTGTGTGCTCCATTTCTAATACCGATCAAGTAATATGGTGCCAGGGGTAATTCCACATTCGTTACAACATTCGACACAAGTTGGAAGATTAAAGGAAAAGAAAATATTGTATGTTAATATTAATAGATATGTGAAAGGTGGCCTTTCGTGAGTAAATAAAAAAAGGTACAGTAAACGAGGTGAATTCTCAATGAGTTATAAATAATACATTACTGTTAGGCCTAGACTACACCTAGTATCTACATTCATGTATGTATTGTTTGCTGAATTATCGTTGTTTTGTAACGTCTTTGTAATGTGTTACAAAACTAATTCCTCCATGCTTATAACATTTAGGAAAGTATAATACATACTCCAAGTATTGAAATACACGCCATCGTGTTGGGATTCAATATTTCGACATTAATTATGTCATCATCAGGAATGAAAAAATTATCCATATTAGCAAGCTTATATGCACTAGTACCAAAAGTGTTTAACCAATCAAAACATTACCTCTAGTAGGTGACATAGCAGTAATTTAAACAAAAGATCAAAGCATTTTTACTCTAATGATCAAAGATACCTACAAAAACAAAGAAAGCTCTTTTGAAGCTCTGAGCCCATTGTTAAGCAAAGGGTGTAGTCTACGTATAGCGAACGCTTCAGATGTGTATAAGAGTTATTTTGATGTGAATAAATATATCTGTCTCTTATACACATCTAGATGTGTATAAGAGACAGCATTACAGACGACATTATCATTTTCAAGTATACCCTGTAATCCTAAAACATATTGGAATGCCTCACAGTTTTTAACATGATCAAATATAACACTATCAGATCGTGAAGAATGTTCTTTAAGTCTAGTTATTAACATATAACATTTAGTTGTAGGCCTAGGCCTATGTAATATATTTTAGACATGCCTAGGCCCTACATAGGCTAGCATAGCCGACTTGGTCTCAACGTGCATAGAAACATCACAAAAAATGTTAAAGTCGTAAACCTTCACAATTGTCTATTTTGTCGTTACTCACTTTGGAATGGAAAAATCCGATGTTCTGTTTTTTTTTTTTTTTTTTTTAGGTGTAGTACTGTACGTATGGTATCCTGTACGTACGGTATCATAAATCCTTATTCTTCCATCATAAATAAATAGTTCATGTGTATTAAAAATGGATAGGAAGAGTGTTCGCGCGTTTTATACATGTGACAGTGTGTGCGCGCGTAACAAACAAAAGATATAATTTTGTAATAAAGCGCTAGCTAGAAAAACGTATTTTTTATTCAGTCATGGATATGCCTAGGTTCTAAATATAGGCCCTAGTAGAAACTTGAACCGTGAAGGCGAAATTTTCGATCTCCCTGGCCTTCAGCATCTTTTACCGAAACCGCCGCAAATTCAAGATTGCTTTATCATCAACCAAAAAATGGGATGTGATTTTTTTTTTGCTTGCTGCATAGACAGAAGACAGTAAAAAAAGGCAATTAAAACCAAAAAACAAACAACCTACGCTAAATACGGTACTAGGCCTAGGCCTACGGACTTTTGCAAGATTTGTTTAAAAGATGTTCAGCCGTAAACAATGAGAGGTACCTGTAAGTGATATTACTTATTGAATTTCAGTCATAGGCCTACCAGGCTAGACCTAGCCTAGGCTCAGGTAGCGCGTAGCTAGGCCCCCTAGGTCTATATATGAAATAAGGCCCATGCCCATAGGCTGCTAGACCTATGTGTGCAAAAGGGGCCCAGTGAAGAAGTAGAATTGCTTCTTTTATCCCTACTCCATTAGACTATGCTTTGGGGTATTGGCCTATTCGGTCTCATCTGTTACTACTATAATCAAAACAGGGAAAAAAAATGGTGGCACATGTAAATTACCAACTGTAGTGGCGGTTCAGGGAATTTGAATTAGGTGTTGGCCTATAGATAGGCTAGAGGGGCCAGGGAAGTTAAGACCACCTCATCCCCATCATTGATTAGGGCCTAAGCCTATACTTAGCATAGGCTACTTGTTGTTTTCTTTGCCGTACTAGGCCTCAGGCCCTACCCTGGATGGATTCCTTTTTCTCACTGGACTTGATCGTCTCTGATTTTTAATAGTAGACAGCAAGATCTCTCAGAGCTAGGCCTAGTTTGCATTGCAAGCCCAACGTCGTTTTGAATCCACATGAAGTGATCATCCACGAAGTGAGCACACGAATTCCTTTGACTTTTGCTCATCCGGCCCATGAAAATTTGAATTGTAAAATTGACAAATTTAACTCAACGACGACGTCTTTTACTATCTTTAGGTAATGTAAAATATTTACTTCGTGTGCTCTTATAACCCCCCTACAACACAATTTACTGGCATATTGTGTAAAACTCGGGAAACTATGTAATATACTAACAGCCTAGGGTAGAAGTTCGGGCTTTTCTTCCTCCGCTAGGCCACCGTCGCAGTGTTTGTTTTGATTTCGCGCTTGGATGAAGTTTGGCAAAGTCGGTCACCAATGACGTCATTGAGTGACCTCTTTGTTTCTATGGTCTTTCAAAAATGAAACTCATTTTTTTCGTACAAAATCAATTTTATTCGTAATATATGACCAACACTTGTATTTATAATATATTTATAAATATAAACATGCTGTAGTTTATAAAAATTGACAGA